TATTTTCAAACTGCTAGGTTGGCAGTAGCTGGGGCTAACAGCGGGAGCTCATGCCACTCCCTGGATTTGAACCTGTGACCTTTTGGTAAGCAAGTTCAGCAGCTTTAACCCACCGTTCCACCAGGGGCTACATGCTTAAAAAGACTACATGTTAAAAAATGTAAAAAAATATATAGTTTACGTTTCCAACCAGATTTTTCACACCTTCACATTACAATGCAGAAGCGGACCAGAACAGCTCTAGTTGCACAAGAATTACAATTTGAATGACATCCAGATTTAAAGATTCACACGTTCCTTGTCTGCAAACAGCATTGATCATCATGGGGCATGGTCTCGAAAGGTTTTAATGTATATGGCTGAGCTCTCAGTGAGTGGCTTTCTTCCAGTGTTTTCAAAATGGTTTTCACTTCTTGCAAATTCTACAAAAATAATCACTCTGCTAAGATTAATAAATTACATCAACTGTCTGGAATGTGGATTTTAAAGATTGGAGGCAATCTGCTTCAGTTTAGTACTAATGTTTCAAATGATTGTTTTGTACTGTATTAGTACAGTCGTAAGATGTGAAGTACACTTGTGAGATAGTTGGAAAGCACATAATACTTTCGGTATTGGTGATGATGGGGAAAGGCTCACAAGATAGGTCATTAGTAACATATGTTAACTACCAAAACAATTCTTCTCTTTATATTAGCAATTATATGCTGGTTTTGGACAAGTTTCCAAACAGCTTAGAAGTAGCTTCCAAACAATTTCCAAATATATACATAAATCAGAGAGATGCTAAATCTAACCCTTCAGATTTTTTCCTCTCTTTTTCCAGCAAAATTCATATCTAAACACATTATTCTTCCTGCAAAAATAGCACAAGGAGGAAATGTAACAGAAAAAATAGCAACATTAGTTGTTGCTTAATTATCAAATTGGTAAAAACAAAGATAGTTTCCCTCTATATGTAACCATAGATTGGAGTTTATGAGAACTTTCTGCTGATACCAAAAATAAACCTTTGTTATTATGATGCTTTGGTGTTGAAGCCTAGGATGTGATGTACTTCAAAATCTTTCATCAACTACTAAAACTTGATTTGCTCTAATAATTATATCACTTAATAATGATTTTGCTAACTTATGGCCCAAAAGGATGAAATGTGAATTGGCATTTCTAATTCCCACACAGGTGAGACTATATTTTCCAGATGTTCAGTTGTAACATCATTTGTGAAGATCCAAATGAGCGAAGTTTCACACATTTAAGGGCCAGAACAAAACTAAAATTACAACATGTCTGGAAATTTGTGGGGCCAGATTAGAAAACAGGTGCCAATGGGATACATGATGTAATGCAGATAAGTAATTGATATTTAACTTTTTAAAATTGAATCTGCATTTTGATACAAGTTATGTTACTTGAAATGTTTGGGATCTCAGCCCTCCTCCAAATATTTTGTATTTATATTGGCACATATGTACATAATGAGCTATCTTGGAGATGGGAAACGCAACATTTATGTAAGTTTCATATACACTTTATGCATGTAACCTAAACATAATTTTGCACCATATTTTTCATAATTTTGTGCATGAAGCAAAGAGGTACACTGAACCATCAGAAAGCAAAGGTGTAGCTATCTCATCCTCCCATGTGGATATTTTCAGATTTTGGAGCATTTTGGAAATCCTGGATAAAGGATTCTCAATCTGGATGGCATTTTGGAAAAATAAGTGAGGTTTGGGGAACAGCTCAGTATTACTGATGCTCACTCTCTTGATAGCAGTAACTTGTTGGATAGTGGGAGTGACCCAAGACAGCACTTGGCTATTGATCCCTTGGCTATATGTGTTCCTCATTCACTAGCATCAGTTATGAGCCCATGGGAAGCATCAACTTGTATACCAATAGTAGATATCCCACACACATGGCAATTTCCACAGAATATTACAACAGCTTGACCACTGTCTCCCAAAGCAGTTGCTCAACTCCGAACTCAAGAACGGAAAACAGAATGTTGGCGGGCAGGAAAAGAGATTCAAAGATGGGCTCAAAGCCAACCTTAAAAACTCTGGCATAGACACTGAGAACTGGGAAGCCCTGGCCCTTGAGCGCTCCAGCTGGTAGTCAGCTGTGACCAGCAGTGCTGCAGAATTTGAAGAGGCACAAATGGAGGGCGAAAGAGAGAAACGTGCCAAGAGGAAGGTGCGTCAAGCCAACCCCGATCAAGACCGCCTTCCACCTGGAAGCCAATGCCCCCACTGCAGATCAAGAATAGGGCTCCATAGTCACCTACAGACCCACCCTGGAGGATTATCTGACTCAGAAAATGAGGGATTGCCTAAGGAAGTAACTAACAACATCCTTCTGTTTCATTTCCAGCAAGGATAGGGAATGCTTCAAAACAATCTCTTTAAGCAGCTATTTCCAGTTTGATTTTACTAAGCAAAAAACTTGATGCATTAGGGTGAAGCAATTGCAATGACGCATAATGATCTGTGTATCTAGAGAAAACACAGTGCCGAGACTGGTACAGCGTGTCCACTCATCAGTCTCAAAAAAGGAAAAGAGATGAAGCATGTAGTCCATGAACTATGGAATCAATGTTCTATCACCCCCTTGGTGGGTGGGGAGGGGGATCAGTTTTTTTTGTGCCAAATTCTTTGCATTCAAGAGGCCTTTGGGATGAATGCATCTACTACACTGTAGCATTTATGCAGTTTGATACCATTTTAACCATGGCCGAAGGCTAAGGAATCCTGTGGGCTGCAATTTTAGATGGCTTTTAGCCTTATCTGCCAAAGAGTGCTGGTGCCTCACCACATTACAAAACCAAAGATTCCACAGCACAAAGCCTTGGCAGTTAAAGTGATGTCAAACTCCATTGATTCTAGAGTGTAGATGCCCATGTAGAGAGGTTGCTGAGCTCTCTCATGAAAAGCTTTATGCCTGGATTTTCTGCGTCAAGCGGGGGAAAATGGCATGCACTGGCAGTTTTGGACCCTTCTACACTGCCATATCCAGATTATCACAGCAGAAAATCCACATTGTCTGATTTGAACTGGATTATATGAATCTACACTGCTATATAATCCAGTTTAAAGCAGATAATATGGATTTTATATGAGTGTAGAAGGGGGTACTGAATAAGGTTATTGTGGTCTACCCCAGATTACCTGGCAGTAAGATTCATATAATCCAATTCAAAATTGATTTGGGATCAGATCCTGGGATCTTGGGCGGTATAGATCCAGCCTATGAAAACTCATGCTAAAATAAACCAGTCTTAAAGGTGTTGTAAAATGCCTTCCACTTATGCTAGTAATAGTTTTGCTGCTGTTTTGGACCAGCAGAGGTTTCCAGAACATTTTCAAAACCTGCCCAATCTGCAATGCATTGCAATAATCAATTTAATCGTATGTTTATTTCTCTGTGGGTTTTTTTTAAGTGTCAGAGGCTAATAAGACAAGAACTATGAACCTTCCAAGTAGCAAGCTGCTAGATCAAAGCAAAACACCCAGCAAGAGCTTGTTTACATGCTAATTCACATAAACAACTTCAGCTTTCCAAGAATTCCACACACAACTGTATAGCAAACACTTGAGGTTTTTTTTTGTTACAGAAGCCAGAAAAGCATTTAGGAACTACTTTAAAAGGCAACCAGTAGCTTCTTATGTGGTTCACGTGATCCTGCTTTGCAACGGCATGTCTACTTGTGTGAGATTATATATGTTTTCAAGTGTCTTAAAACTAGTATGCATTTCATGCATTGGCTGCTAGATATGACGTCTCTCCAAGAATCTACATAGAAACGGCACAACATAAATGTTCAACAGCCTTGGAAATTGTTATTAATTCCAACAGTCTAAGAATATGTTTAAATTGGCATTGCAACAGCCCACAACTTATGGGGAAAGTACAATATTTGAGCTGCTATTGATCAATATGTAGGCAATAATATTGCTTTAAGAGCCCCATTTAACAGTTTCATTTTTTCATTGTTGTTGTTGTTGTTAATTACAGTTAAGTTAACTTCACTCCATGGCAACCCTATGGATGAGAAACCTCCAAGTGTACATCTCATACTGTAGAACGGATGCACGTTGATAACACTTTAACTATGAACCCATAGACTGATGACTTCAGTGTATAACTCTTTGGGCCTGTCCACACAGCCACATAACCCAGAATATCAAGGCAGAATAGCCCACGATGTGTTTTGAACTGGGTTATTTTAGGTCCCTTCCACAACTGTAGAAAATCCCACATTATCTGCTTTGATCTGGATTATATGGCAGTGTGGACTCAGATAACCCATTCAAAGCAGATATTGTGGATTACCTGTTTTGATATCCTGGGTTATATGGCTGTGTGGAAGGACCCAAAGAGTTATACACAAAGGGTCCCAAGTCCACATTGCTATATATTCCAGTTCAAGCAGACATTTTGGACTACAAATCCCATCCAGTCAGGTGGGATTTAAGTCTCAAAACATTTGAAGGGCATCAGATGGTCTATTCCTCCAAGGCTGTGGCTGCTGGAATTAGTGCAGTTTGACTCCACTTTCAATGCTATGGAATACTGGGATTTGTAGTTTAGTCAGGCGCCAGCACTCCTTGGCAGAGAAGACTAAGGGCCTTGTAACACTACAACTCTCAGGATTCCCTAGCACTGAGCCTGACATCAAGAAGACATTGATTCTATAATGTAGTACAGGCATGGGCAAACTTGGGCTCTCCCTCTCCAGGTGTTTTGGACTTCAACTCCCACAATTCCCAACAGTCTACCGGCTGTTGGGAATTGTGGGAGTTGAAGTCCAAAACACCTGGAGAGGGAGCGCCCAAGTTTGCCCATGCCTGATGTAGAGTTCATCGAGGGTGGCTACCTGCTTCAGCCAAACTGCCGCTCGGCTATTTCCGGCAACATTCGTCCTGGCTCGGAGCTTGTGGGCGGAGCTTCGCTTCCCTTCCCTTCTCTTCGCCAATCTGGTGGCGAGCAGGCGGCGCGTCATCGTTCCCTTGTGACGTAGCTTGGCGCGTGGCGGCACATTTGAATCTTCCTGGCGCAGGCGCAAAGCCTCGGAGCGGAGGGCGTGAGCACAACTGAGACGATAATGAGGCCTACGGTCCCGCGGAAAGCCCCGAAGGCCTTGATGAAGAGGACCAAGCCCCACCTCCGCCTGCGCGGCGACACCGACCTGCTGGTGAGGGTCCGCTTCTTGCTTTCTCTACCTCGAGGTGACGAAGGCATGTAGTGAAGGGAGGAGTCTTCAGGCTGGAGGGCCAGAGCCCTCTGGAAGCAGGCAGGCAAGCCCTTCCCTCCTATCACAAGGCCTCCCTCCACGCAGGCCTCAGCCTTTGACAGGGTGCACTTCAACTGCCATGGTTCAATACTATGGTATCCCGGGTTGTGTAGTTTGGTGAGGCTAAACAGCTTGCAAAACCACAACTCCCATGATTCCCTAGAATGGCAGTTAAATAGACACGCCCCTTCCTTAGCTGACTTCAAGATGTGCCTTTGGAGAGTGACCATCCATCTCATTTGTGTTGCCCCACTACTGCAACGCATCTATAGTGTTGCCCTATCTATAGTATATGAGGCACTTTCCCCCATTCTAAACAAAGCTTTACCCCACTGTTTTATTTTCTTGGGCTCCCCTCGCTCACATATCTGCTATTCCTACCTCACCCAGGGTTTTATAATTTTACCGTGTCCATTTGGGCTGCCCATCCTGTTCATAGAATCAAAGAGTTGGAAGAGACCTCATGGGCCATCCAGTCCAACCCCCTGCCAAGAAGCAGGAACGTTGCACTCAAATCACCCCTGACAGATGGCCATCCGGCCTCTGTTTAAAAGCCTCCACCACACTCCGGGGCAGAGAGTTCCACTGCTGACGGCTCTCACAGTCAAAAAGTTCTTCCTAATGTTCAGATGGAATCTCCTCTCTTGTAGTTTGAAGCCATTGTTGTGCATCCAATCTCCAGGGCAGCAGAAAACAAGCTTGCTCCATCCTCCCTATGACTTCCTCTCACATATTTATACATGGCTGTTTCCTCTCAGCCTTCTTTTCTGCAGGCTAAACATACCCAGCTCTTTAAGCCGCTCATCATAGGGCTTGTTCTTCAGACCCTTGATCATTTTAGTGGCCCTCCTCTGTACGCATTCCAGCTTGTCAATATCTCTAAAATTGTGGTGCCCAGATTTGGACACAGTATTCCAGGTGTGGTCTAACCAAGGCAGAATAGAGGGGTAGCATGACTTCCCTGGATCTAGACACTATACTCCTATTTATGCAGGCCAAAATCCCATTGGCTTTTTAAGTCATCACATGACATTGTTGGCTCATGTTGAACTTGTTGTCCACAAGGACTCCCAAGATCTTTTTCATGCGTATTGCTGTCAAGCCAGGCATCCTCTATTCTGTATCTTTGCGTTTCATTTTTTCTATCTAAGTCATTAATAAAGATGTTGAACAGGATGGGGGCCAGGAAGGGACCCTGCAGCACTCCTTCTTTCCAGGATGAAGAAGAAGCATTGGTGAGCAAACCTCTGGGTTCGTTCACTTAACCCAGTGGTTCTCAACCTGGGGTCCCCAGATGTTTTTGGCCTTCAACTCCCAGAAATCCTAACAGCTGGTAAACTTGGGTAAATCTGGGGACCCCAGGTTGAGAACCACTGACTTAACCAATTCCAGATCCACTTAACTGTAGCTTTGTCTAGCTCACATTGGACTATTTGTTTGCCAGAAGGTCATGGAGGACCTTGTCGAAGACCTTACTGAAATCCAGGTAAGCTACATCCATGCCATCTCTGCATCTACCCAGCTTGTAACTCTATTGAAAAAAAGAGATCACATCCTTCTGGGGCGCCTTGCGGAAATGGGCCTCGGGGGCACTGTTTTGCAGTGGCTCCGGTCATTCCTGGAGGGCCGCACCCAGAAGGTGTTATTGGGGGACACCTGTTCAACACCACAGCCTTTGACTTGTGGGGTTCCACAGGGCTCTATACTGTCCCCCATGCTGTTTAATATCTACATGAAGCCACTGGGTGAGATCATCCGGAGTTTCGGGGTGCGGTGTCATCTGTATGCAGACGATGTCCAACTCTGTCACTCCTTTCCACCTGCTACTAAGGAGGCTGTCGAGGTCCTGAACCGGTGCCTGGCCGCTGTAATGGTCTGGATGAGGGCAAACAAACTGAAATTAAATCCAGACAAGACAGAGGTACTCCTGGTCAGTCGCAAGGCCGAACAGGGTATAGGGTTACAGCCTGTGCTGGATGGGGTCGCACTCCCCTTGAAGGCGCAGGTTCGCAGCTTGGGTGTGATCCTGGACTCATCGTTAAGCCTGGATCCCCAGGTTTCAGCAGTGACCAGGTGAGCATTTGCACAGCTCAGGCTCGTGCGCCAGCTGCGCCCATACCTCGGGAAGTCTGACTTGGCCACGGTAGTACACGCTCTGGTCACATCCCGCCTTGACTACTGCAACGCTCTCTATGTGGGGCTGCCCTTGAAGACGGCCCAGAAGCTTCAGCTAGTCCAGCGCGCGGCAGCCATGTTACTAACAGGAGCGGGACGCAGGGAGCACACAACGCCCTTGTTGTTCCAGCTCCACTGGCTGCCGATCTGCTACCGGGCCCAATTCAAGGTGCTGGTGTTGGCCTACAAAGCCCTAAACGGTTCCGGCCCAAAATACCTCTGACCGCATCTCGGCCTATGAGCCCACGAGGACCTTGAGATCGTCTGGGGAGGCCCTTCTCTCGATCCCGCCTGCCTCACAGGCACGCCTGGCGGGGACGAGGGATAGGGCCTTCTCGGTGGTGGCCCCCCGGCTGTGGAACACCCTCCCTGTAGACATCAGACAGGCGCCCTCCCTTATGACATTCCGCAAGAGCCTAAAGACATGGTTATTTGAGAAGGCGTTTGACTAAGTGCTACAACAATTGGCAATGATGATTGGAACGGAATATGGATAACGAGATTGGTTTATGATTCTACGATGAGACGGCGCGGATGATTTAGTGTAATTGTATGATTGATAGTTATGTTGATATTTTGTTGTGATATTGCCTTATTGTAAACTGTTTTCTTTTATATGTTGTACACCGCCGTGAGTCGCCCTAGGGCTGAGAACGGCGGTCAACAAATGCAGTAAATAAAATAAATAATAATAACATTAGTCTGGCATGACTGCTTTGATTTTATATTGTGTGAGTTTGTTATGCTCCCCTTCTATTCTGCCTTGGTCAGACCACACCTAGAACCACACTGTCCAATTCTGGGTACCACAATTGAAGCTGGAATTTGTCCAGTGAAGGGCAACTAAAATGATCAAGAGTCTGGAGAACAAGTCCTATGAGGAGCAGCTTAAAGAGCTGGGCATGTTTAGCCTACAGAAGAGAAGGGCGAGAAGTAATATGATGGCCAAGTGTAAATATGTGAGGGGAAGTCATAAAGAGGTGGGAGCAAGCTTGTTTTCTACTGCCTTGGAGACTAGGACACAGAATAATGGCTTCAACCTACAGTAAAGGAGATTCCACCTGAACATTGGGAAGAACTTCCTAATGGTGAGAGCTGTTCAGCAGTGGAACTCTCTGCCCTGGGGTGTAGTGGAGACGTCTTCTTTGGAGGCTTTTAAACAGAGGCTGGATGTCCCTCTGTTGGAGGTGCTTTGATTGCGATTTTTCTGCCTCTTGGCAGGGAGTTGGACTGGATGGCCCACGGGGTCTCTTCCAACTCTGATTCTATGAATGATGATACAAAACGATGCTGAAGCGATGTGCTTTACTAGAAATAGTCTTCAAAATTAAGAAGCTATATCTGTTATATAATAAGGGGTAATATTTATATAACTAAATACTTCATAAAGTTACTATACATTTGTTTGTTTAATATGTATTTATATGTATAGCTTGACATTACTCATAAAGTTTTACAGAATATCTCATAAATCAAAATGTGCTAATCTTAAACATCCCTTTAATACATTATCTACTATTATAGGTAAATTTGAACTTTTTGTTGTTTCTGCATCGATTGGCAGAGGAAGCCAGGACCATAGCGGTAGCAGAAAAGAGCAAAATAGTTAAATATGAACATGTTCTCTCGTCAGCAAAGGTAATTGCTGTTAGAAACGGAAATCTCTATCCTGTGATATTAAGCTGGTGACAGTTTTCTGTTTAGTGTCAAGAGAGTATAATGCTGCTAGAGCCCTGTTCATCTGACTACCTTTTTCAAATATGGGATCTATTATACTTTTGAGTTATTAATCAAGTAAAAATATAGTTAGTACAACATCAGTATATTAAAATGTGTTGCTTCAAATCATGTTTGTGTAAAACATCAATTGCTTGAATTCTACTTTATAAGGTCCCCGGCAGGTTTCTAGAAATGACAGAAAAGGAATTAAGATGACTGACCTATGGCACTTTGAGGTCAAAAATGTCAATTCCCCACATAATTTGAGGAACACTGGTCTAAGTCAATATGGAACAGGAACCTCCATACTCACTTTTCAAAAACTCATTCATGCTAGTCAGAAAAAGAAATATAGTATGAGAAGACATCTTATGAGGCACCTGTATAATGAGATAAACTAAAAACCAAAACAGATCTTTCATTAACTACGTGAGTACAAAGGACATTTTTAATAATATCAATAACATTGGAAGAGAGAGCATTCTGGACTGTGGGAGATGAGGGGCATTCCCCCCCCCCCCCTTCTCATCTATCTATCATCAAATTGTCCATTTAAATTTTTAAAAAGGGAAGTTTCCAGAAATGTAAAAAAAAATGGAGATGAAGAATGCAAAAGGTCCCAAGTAGTTTACAATGATTATTGTGCAATAACTATTGGAATGGCTTTGGATTACGATTGTGGATGGCTTGGTTATAATAGTGACTGTAGTATTTTTAAATGTATTAATTAAATGTTTTGATGTGTTTTAATTTTAGTTTTAATGTTTATTTTAATTGTATGTTGTTTTTAAGGCCTATGTGTAATGCCACCTAGAGTACTCTTTGGGGTTGAAAAGGGTGGGGTATAAATATGGTAAATAAATAAAAGACCCACTATCATTCTTTCAGTAGGAAAGCAATGTCTCTTGTCAGTTAGGATGGTTGGTTGTGCATAAGGACTGGTCCTCATCACAGCCTGTTGCTTGTCTGCTTAGTAAATGTAGTGGTGGCTTGGGAAGCTTATTTAGTAGGCATGTGCAAATAAATTGGAAAGCATGGTAAAATTTGTTACATTCGTGCATTCAAATAATTATTAAAAACTTGCAGGAAAGGTGGAGGGATTTAGAAATTGAAACTCTCACCAATCATTTTTTAAGATTCTGTAACATTTGGATGCCTCCCAAGGTCAGTTTAATTTTCAGTATAAGCATTAAGCAACTTTGGTAAAGCCGAGAGAACATAAAGTGTTTTAAAAGCCAATCCTTTTTCTTTGGCCTGATGTCACCATAAGCAAAGGCACTGGGGGGGGGGGGGGGGGGGGGGGGGGAGATTAGCAAATGGGTGGGAGACTGAGAACACAGAAATGTAGTTTGGGAAGGCGAGGCCCCTTGTAGCAGAGAATGCAAAAGGCCATGCCCTAAACTACATTTCCCAGAATGGAGTGCTCTGCATTGGAAAGTCCCAATGAGCGGCACCAACTGATTAGAGTCAGTCTAATAATAATGAATAAAATTATTGAATCTACAGGGAGGACTAAAGTAAGTAATAGTATAATCTGTGCTGAGATGAAGTTACGTGGTTTTGTGTCATAAAGACAGACAGACATGCTGTTGTCACTTTTGGGGGGATTTTTTTTTTGTCTAAACTTTTAAAAATCCCCCAAAATCCGTAGATGTGTGAATCTTTCTGAAACTTCTGGGGATTGATGCCCTGATTATCTTGTGCATTGTATATAAACATGAAGTAGATAGATCTTGTAGGGTTTTTTGTAAAAAAAAATGTTGTTTATAACAACTTTGAAAATTCCCCAAAAATTTGTGGATAAATGAAACGTTCTGAAATTTCGTGGGCTAACAGTGGCAAATGTGTTCTACCATTGTAGCAAGTTTCACTCCAATAGCTTTAAAATGAGGGGAAAAGGAGCCCCTGAACTTTCCTCAATTGTCGTAGTTATGCACAATTACTATAACGAAATAGTAAAGAAATTTCATTACACTCGTTATAGTAAGAAAATTTTCACTAAGTATACTTTAGAAATGAAGCGCCAGCGCCCCCAGTATTATAATGACTTTTGAATCATTTTAATGGATCACTCATCACTATGATAAGCTTGTGTCTTTCTCAAGATAAATTCCCTCAGAAATTCCCTCAGCGTGTTGTGTAATTACAATTTTCTGTGCCTTCTAGGTTTTTTTCTAACAAGATGACCCTGAGGTATATATAAATATGGAGTTTTCTTAGCAGGATTCATTCAGAGAGTGTTGCCTTCGTTTTTCTGTGGGGTTGAGAGAGTGACTTGCCCAAGATCATCCAGTGGGTTGCCATGGATTCAAACCGTACTCACCAAATTCATAGTCTGATGCTCAAACTGCTACACCACAGTGGCTCTGAATTGATTAATGTATAATTTGTGCACACATTGCCTAATAATATCAAGCAATTGAAAGTCATTTCATTTCTCTGTCTGGGGTCAGACTATTTGTCATACAGAGTGAACTTGTGGACCTCCAGATATTATGGACTACAGGTATAACTCAATTCTGTACAATTGGCTATGCTGAGTGACCTGAAATATCTAGAGAGTGATATGTTCCATACTTCTACTATAATGTTGTGTGTCTTCAAGTCACAGAGATTTCTTGGCAAGACAGTGCATAACTGGAGCCCCTGGTGGTGGACTGGGTTAAACCCTTGTGCCAACAGGACTGCCAACCAAAAGGTCAGCGATTCAAATCCAGGGGGTGGTGAGAATCCAGGGGGTGGGGTGAGCTCTTGTCTGTCAGCTCCAGCTCTTCATGCGGGGACATGAGAGAAGCCTCCCACAGGATGGTAAAACATCCAGGCATCTCCTGGGCAATGTCCTTGCAGACGGCCAATTCTCTCACACCAGAAGCAACTTGTACTTTCTCAAGTCGCTCCTGGCATGGAAAAAAATGTTCAACTAGCTTAAGGTGACTCACTGGGTTTTCATGGATGAGCAGGGATTCAAACTCTTTTCTCCCACAGTTCTAATCCAACATTTAAACCACTAAAGTACACTGGCTCTCCCTCCTGCTAGAAATATAGCACAGCAAACTGAATATAAGTTATGCTTTTCTACTTGAAATGAAGGAACTTGAGCCTTATGGCAGTTAAATTCTAGAGCATACGTACTTTTCTATGGTGCCTTCTGTATCTAGATATAAGAGGTAACCTACATGCAATAGATAGAAACTTAGACGAAGAAACAAAAAGTGTTTTCTGTTTGTGGTGTCTGTCAAGCCTTCTCAGGGATGTTCACTAGATGGATCTGTCTGAAGAAAGTTCCTTCCTGTGTCACCACAGAGAAGGTATGTGACGGGCCTCCCTTGGTCTCAATTGATGAGTGTCTTCAGAACATCTAAAAACATAAGTGAAGGAGAGGAGGAATCTGTAAGTCCATTTGCAGGATTTGTAATTAGATGCATTGTTGTATGAATGTCAGTCATGAATTGGATTTGAAGAAGAGTGTTCTCTCTGACATCCAGAATTGCACAAAAAAACAACAGCAAACAGAATGGGAAGGAAGTTTTTTTATTTCATTGGGTTGGTTTAGTGGCATAAATAGAAAATTACCAGTTTTGCTCCGTTATCTTTGTAGCAATGTAGATATGAATAAACAAGAACACTGTATAAATAATATATTTATTTGAAATAATAGGTTTATGTGTCTGAACTGTATTTGTGTTTTCTTCCAGATAGTTCTAAAGAAGACCCATGGCTAGAGCCAAGAAGTATTCTTTCATCCTCTGGCTGAATTTAATGTAGTGTATGTATTAAATTGTCGAGTAATTATGTATGCTAATGCCAAAATAGCTTGTTACTTCATTTTCATGCTTTTGTACACGATCATTTTCAGGAAAGGGTATGTAATAATATAGTGTAATAATGATTGCATAACGGACTAATGTATGTAAATATCAGTGACTGAGATGCAAGTTTTAATATTAGCTACATAGAATTTGGTTTTTTAAAATACTAATTATATAAGATGGTTTCTGTGAGATTGTGAATGTTAACTTATCTAAATGTTACTATGAATCATACATAATTCCTTCTATAAAAATGTACATACTTCTGATTCTTTTTAAACACCTTTTAAGGTTTTTAAGTAACATACAAATAAAATTGCAATTAAACAGATGCTTGCTTTAGGAAACTTAGAATAGGAAACAGGATATATATGGCAGTAGTTGTGAACATAATATAGAAACTATTACAATATTTCAGAAGTTTCCACTCCTCCCTCGTAATTTTGCATCCTTTTTGCAAGTTAAATGAAAATGAAAATAAAAACAGTTTGCCAGGTCCACTTTCAATAGAGGTTTCCTGGAAAAGATAGTGGTACTGCATATTGTTTTCCTCCCTTTATCAAAGAGCTGGTGGGTGCTGGAGATAGCTATAAGGGGCAGAAAACTAATTTTCCTTTCACATGGACATACCAGTTCCCATTTTTAGAAGAAGTGGCATCTCTAACATCTTCATTCTTATTTTAAATAAGAAAGAGAAAAGATGTAACAGGAAGCCTAAGCCCTTCCACACAGCTCTATGTTCCAGAATATCAAGGCAGAAAATCCTTGTCTGCTTTGAACTGGAATATATAGCAGGGTGTACTCAGATAAACCATTTTAAATCAGATATTGTGGGATTTTCTGCCTTGATATTCTGGGATATAGGGCTGTGTGGAAGAGGCGTAAGCCCATATCTTTCTTTTCCTGGAGTAACAATGCTCAATAAATACCAGCAATAGGCTTCTGCTTTATCGTTCCTATTTGGAATGCTGTTCTAAGCCACTAAGTCCAGATCCCTCAGAGGGATATAAACATGATACAAAACTTTATATTTATATTCTGTAGTCTTTTTTATAGAAAGTATTATTCTTTATTATTCAATAAAGACCATTTCTATATTAAAACATGTTTTGTCTCACAGTGCCTGAGTGGCATAGTATATATTGGAATAAATGCATTTTGTGAATAAATTCTGTAGTCAGTGTCTTTGTTATGTAAACTTATTTTGAGATTAAAATTCCTCGCCTCAGTAGATGTTCCTTTTGCAACCATAAGATGGGGATAGAGTTAAGTGTCGCATATATTCCTTGTATGTAAGGTTTTGTTTTATTAATTTGCTCCTTTTTTAGAATTACAGTTTTACATTAAAATCCCAACAGGCATCAGATGTACCAAGTTTTTATTGTTGACAGATGTAGGGCAATTAAGCATTTCATTTTTCACATAAAGGAAAGAAAGTAGTTTTGAGCTTTCATGTATCTTGGTAATGAGGCTGAGACGAGGAATGTTTCTGTGTTTTGACAGGATGCAAAAGATGCCTCATTTCCTCAGCTAAGCAGTGTCATCGCCTAATCATCTAGCATAATTAATCAAGCCTAGGTGATTAACACTAGACATTGTAGTCCATAAAGTGAATGTATATATTTTAATCAATGCAGATTTCAGCACAAATATAGAAATCAGCTACTTAAGAAATAATATTAATATTGCATCAATGAGATTTAAGCATAAAATGGAAAAAATCTACCCCCTTTCTCCATCCAGTATTGGAAGATCTATTATAAGATTGCTTTGCTTTCAAGTGATGTATGGTTATGGTTTTGTGGAACAATGTTATAGCAAACAGCACAGTTAAGATAATTTGTAATGATAAGAAGAGAAATTAAAGCTTACTACATAACCTATTCTAGGACTGGGTTGTTGTAGGTTTTTCCGGGCTGTATGGCCATGTTCTGGAGGCAATTTTTCTCCTGACTTTTCGCCTGCATCTATGGCAAGCATCCTCAGAGGTAGTGAGGTCTGTTGGAAGTAGGAAAAATGGGTTTATATATCTGTGGAATGACCAGGGTGAGACAAAGGACTTTTGTCTGCTGGGGCTAGGTGTTAATGTTTCAGCTGATCGCCTTGATTAGCATTCAATGGCTTGGAAGTGCCTGGGGGGATTCTTTTGTTGAGAGTGATTTTATGTGCCTGTTTGTTTCCCCTCTGTTGTTTTGCTGTTGTAATTTTTGAGTTTTTTAATACTGGTAGCCAGATTTTGTTCATTTTCATGGTTTCCTCCTTTCTGTTGAAATTGTCCACATGCTTGTGGATTTCAATGGCTTCTCTGTGTAGTCTGACATGGTGGTTGTGAGAGTGGTCCAGCATTTTGTGTTCTCAAATAAAATGCTTTGTCCAGGTTGGTTCATCAGGTGCTCTGCTATGGCTGATTTCTCTGGTTGGAGTAGTTTGCAGTGCCTTTCATGTTCCTCGATGTGTGTCTGGGCGCTGCGTTTGGTGGTCCCTATGTAGACTTGTCCACAGCTGCATGGTACACGGTAGACTCCTGCAGAGGTGAGAGGATCCCTCTTGTCCTTTGCTGAACGTAGCATTTGTTGGATTTTCTTGGTGGGTCTTAATGTTTTACAAAATTCTGAAATTCTTTCAAATACTGGAAATTATAGTTTTTATTAATGTCCACATCACTTTGAAGTTCATACTGCACATTTTAAACAAACACTTGCAAATTTTGAAATGCAAATGAATATAATTTTAAATTTGCTGCTGTTCAGCAAATTTGCTTATTCTGCAGCACTTTGTCTCTGAAAATATTCTAGGACTATTATAAACATTAACTGGGAAGTTCAAATATGTCATTGTATCGATGCTTGTTTCATGCTTCTTAGATTAATTGTGACTCATTTATTTATCTTGTCTTTACTCTTGTTAACCCAAGTTTCTGAATGCTGATTATGATTCACCAGATTTATATTTATACATGCTTGTATGTTCCAGTTCATACATAAAATTTCTTTTTGAATGGTTTTCGTACACTTCTTTTCAAGGCCTTTGGCCTTTAATATTTTGTTAGATTAACAGAAACAATGTTCCCAGTATGAAGCTCAGCCTTGCACTCACATCTTGTTGACTATTCTCCAGATAAATTAGTTCCCTTTTCTGTTGTGCTAGGCGTGTGGGAGTCACAGCAACCCAGCTCTTTCCCATGCCTCTAGGGTAATACGAGATTCAAGATTTGCTGGGATTCATGGGAGGAAGGCCGGTGAGGTCCTTATTTCAGCTTTAGCTTGGCTTTGTGGGAAGGACACAGTGAAATAGCTCTCATGCTGCCAAAGTAAAGGGAGAAGGGAGATTTAGATCTCTTTTGAATGATATAACCAATAACTTTGGAAGAAGCACCTGGTGTTCTTCCACATTAAGCAAGCAACTCTAGGCATTCTCACTAAGGCATAAGTCTTATTGAATTCAGTGGGGCATTTCTGAGTAGCTGTGCATGAGAAGATTAATAGCCCCGTAATCTCTAGTACCTCAAGTGAAAGATCACATTCAGGAACACATCCATAAATTCTTTTAATTATACAAATAGGTATACTGTTTGATTTAGTTAGAATTGAAATAATATGTCACTTCCTCAGGACACAACAATGATGGTTTATCATATATAGTCCATGGTCGATCTTTCGGCAGAATCTTAATGTTTTACAAAATTCTGAAATTCTTTCAAATACTGGAAATTATAGTTTTTATTAATGTCCACATCACTTTGAAGTTCATACTGCACATTTTAAACAAACACTTGCAAATTTTGAAATGCAAATGAATATAATTTGAAATTTGCTGCTGTTCAGCAAATTTGCGTATTTTGCAGCACTTTGTCTCTGAAAATGGGACTCAAGATGGCTTATGCTAATATTGAACAAAAACAATCAATTCACATTTTAGAAAGCACAAATACAGCTTAAAACTTGAACAAAGACTATTACACCCACATTTTAAAGAGTCTCTTGCTCTGCACTTGTCAATTTTGAAAAAAAAACTGAAACAAATGGCATTTGCCTGCCTAGAAAGAGACAACAGGGAGGAAACATCACAATCTGGGAACAAACACCAAGAAAACCTTTGAAGATGGTGGGGCCAAGAGAAGCACCCTGAAAAAATAAGGTGTGTATGAAAGAAAAAATAAGGTGTGTATGAAGTATGGTGTGACAGATCCCAGTTTTGTGTTGGATGTTGACTCTTGTTTTGGCATATGCATAGCAAATGTTAGTAATCACGAATCAAGGAACATGAAAGCCACTGCAGACTAACTCAACCAGAGAAGTCAGCCATAGCAGAGCACTTGAACTAACCTGGAAACAGCATATTGTTTGAGAACACAGAAATGCTGACAACCACCATGTCAGACTACACAGAGAAGCCATTGAAATTGACAAGCATGTGGACAATTTCAACAGAAAGGAGGAAACCATGAAAATGAACAAAATCTGGCTACTAGTATTAAAAAAAATAATTTTGGACAGTAAATAAAGAACAACACTCTGAAAACAGGGAAATTCCAGACATGAAACAATCAGGGCCAGCTAGCACCTCCCAACAAATGATTCCCCCAGGCAGGAATCAGCTAGGCCTTGAAGCTACAAGGCTTTGAAATGCTAATCAAGGTGATTAATTGCAACTTTCACACTTGCCTCCAACAGACTAGAGTTCTTTCTACCATCCTGGACCTTTCACAGATATATAAACCGTCTCCAATATACCTCACAATATCTGAGGGTGCCTGCCATAGAAGTGGCCAAAACGTCAGGAAAGAATGCTTCTGGAACATGGCCATACAACCCGGAAAACTCACAGCAACCTAATGTTAGTAAGTTTGATCAAAACTAATCTTTCTACTATATTGTCTCCCTTTTGAGAATAGGGATGATGTGTTGCATAGATTTCAAATACTGGATCTTAAAAGCTAAAGCAAGGGGTTACTTTTCCTTTCTCCATTTTAAGCAACACAGGGAATGCTTTTATGACCTCTTGCAATGTCAAAACACGAAACTGGGAGGATATCCTATGGTTTATAGTGTTAAGGGAATTACCTCACCAGCTTTGAAAGGTCGGTAGCTAATGAACACCAGGGAAAAGTGAGATATTGGAACCCCACAGTCTACAGGACATAATGCAATACATCATTGCTTTGGGGTTTTATTTGTTTTTCATTAGAAAAAAATCATTATATGAGCCTGCTCTTGGTATCTTATTTTCCTTAAATCATATTTCAAAAAGAAAACCTTATACTAGAGGGACCATTAAAAGTATAGAAATTAAAAGCTCATCATAGGGTAAGGAAATTGTGTCAGATTTATCCTTCCCACCCCCTTCTCTTTGTTTCAGGTGCTCTTAGCAGGCAGATGTCCAAGCCAACAGATAGGTCTTGCTGGCTAAGTTCATTTTGAGCATTAGTAGTAGACTTCTCAATTTCACAGATTCATTTAATCCCCTTTGAGAAAATGCTGTCATCGGGACATTTAAAACTGATCAAAACTTGTCTTCAAATGCTGACTTTCCCCCTATCATCTGTAATTTGAGTGGTTTGAGTATATATGGCATTGAAGCAAGTTCCCAAAGCAACATTAGTTTCAGTACCTTTTAAAGAAGCTGAAGGCATTGCTCTAGGGGGAAAGCACTGAAGGATAAACATAGGTGGAATTTATTTTGCAGTATTAGTAATGGTTTCATTATGTTCAAATACTATATAGTGAACTGGGGGGAAAGTCTGCAATGGTGTTATATGAGCCTTTTTTATTGTAGCCTTTCTATACTTTGGCAGATGCCCTTGTTTTGCACGTACTCATGCCATGCCACAATCTGATTGCTATGATAGGATTAGTTTATTCATATGCCAGTACTCCCCCCCCCCCAATGCATTTCCAGTATATATTTGGGCTTTCCCAATTGTTTGCTTAAGAGTACCACATGATAATTCATCACACTGTGTGTAAGTGCTATCCAAACATCACAAAGGCAGTTCCAAAGTTCAGACATTTACCAGTCCTCCATGTCTCCCGCAGCAGATAATAGTAAATCTTTCTTCCAAATTCAAGGCAAGCTGAATACTAGAGTATTTTCAGAGTAAAATGCTAGCTGCTGGCTTCTTCTGTATTAACTATAATTGGGTTGATTGTTCACCTTCTGCCAAAATTAT